ATCTAATTTCAAATTCCTGGCCACAACAAGGAGAAATATAACACCAGGAGACCCCCAGAAAACAGAAGAAGAGATGTTATGAGGCTCGTTGATCTCCTGCTCCTCACAGGGGCCCATCGAAACCAAGCCTGGGCGCCCCTGACGAAAATCATGCATGCGTGCCTGCCCATACGCTATTAGGGTTTCCCGTTCGAAGTATTTCAGGATTCGCTGCACACTCATTCGACGCCTAGAAACCAACATTTGCAGTCTGCACAGCATCGTTGTGCTGCATTGCCGCGCCTAAAACATTTGCTCATGAATGTGCCCATGCTAGCGAAAAGGCAGCTGACATGCCGCTTGACCTTAAGTCAACCTTTCACATATCGCTTGATTGGCTAGTCACGTGCCTGCCTTCTGCTGCGTGCCGATGGTCGAGATCGCCCAGTCCCCGCGGAGTCCGGTCACATCCGGCGAGCGCGGCCGCCTGCCGCCCGCCCGAGCCTGTCCTGACGCGACTCGTCCGGGACGCACGGCGGGGCCCGGCCGGTCCATGCTGGCGGCCTCTCGGGGCCCTGCCGGTCCATGCTGGCGGCCTCTCGGGGCCCTGCCGGTCCATGACCGCAGGCCTCTCGCTAAGCCGCCCGCTCGCTGGTGGCGTGCCACGCTGGAGCGCGGCGCCGCAGAATGACACTGCACCTGGGGTCACGCACGTGATCGGATAATGTGGTACGGCAGGAATGGTTGAGACCACACGTCAGTTCTGGAGAAGCGCCAAAATCGAGATCGGCAAATCGAGATAGGCACGCCAAAATAAGCAGGTTGAAAACATGCAAAGTCAGCATGGGACACGCGCGAGATTTTGCGAGCCTGCGGCGCGCTTACATGGGGTTTCAGTAAATAATTTGAGGTGTGCCCCACCGTTGTGAAAGTATGCATACACCCGGTCAAACGACAGGACGAAAATGATCGGGAAGGGGTAGACAGCGTCAGCGGTGGATCGATTTCAGGACGCTTGGTCCGGTGTATCTGTCATCTTGTCCGCCATCTATAATCCCAATACGCTGCTCCCTTTCTTTTTATTTGTATGCTTGGTACAGCTTTACATATACACCATGCACGGTGTTAAAAGTGTCAAAAATTATATAATTTGGAGCAGGGAGCCTGTTCCCTTCCATCTAAAACTGCAATATCAGATGCCGTGAAAATCGGCATTGCTGTCAGCAGACTTAGTATGGCTCGTATGGTATGAAAAACGTGCTACACGGCTTTGGATAAAGCTGACTGAATATCAAGCTGACGACAAACATTGCCAAGTCAACTTCGCATGAAGTACCTTCTTTGTGACCGCATTATTCCAAAATGTATAGCTTCTAATTCAACACTGCATCGATTCTGCAGCAAGAACTGCAATGATTATATGATTACGGGACGAGCTAGCCACACGTTAATAAACAATGCCATGTAAAAAACGTCAAACATTGACGCGCGAACTATTGGCGCGCAAAATAAGGTCGCACAAACTATCACCGTCAAAAATGGACACTGCAGAATATCGGCAAGCAAAGTATCAACTACACCAAATCTTGGCACTCAAGGCATCGGCAACCTTAAACGTCCATACACGAAATATCAACACTTAAAATATTGGCACTACAAATCATTCATCTCCACCGTTTCGGGAATGGGTGCCGATACCTTTGGTAAACGTTGTGTGGATACGGTCACTGAAACGCTTGTGATCGGCATACTCATCGCACAAAAACGAAAAGAACTCACACACACACACACACACACACACACACACACACACACACACACACACACACACACACACACACACACACACACACACACACACACACACACACACACACACACACACACACACACACACACACACACACACACACACACACACACACACACACACACACACACACACACACACACACACACACACACACACGCACACACACACACACGCACACACACGCATACACACACACACACACACACACCACACACACACACACACACACACACACACACACACACACACACACACACCAAAGTTGTCATGAGGAGCAAGAATTAGTCTGGCACTCTGTACATGTAAGTTTAGGCAGCCGTGCAATGCTCTGTCGGAAAATAGCACACGTGAAATCTTTGGCCGGGATACCTCCCGGAGGCATCCCTCGTGTGTGTGTGTGGGCCACACACACGAGACGCTTTCATACAGCACTCGGAAGCGATGCTCTTCGTGAGGCCGTCATTATCGCCCGCCGGTCGATCGTTCCATCATCTGGCGTTTTCTGTGGGGGCCTGCGTCGTGCAACCAACGACGATTGCAACGCCAGGCCTCGGAGTTTTTGTAGTGACTGCGGCTGCGCAAGGCCGCGAACGCGCATGCCCAAAACTGTCGTATGTATATATCGTTTGATTACAAACGATCGCTGATTCCGCATTAGCAAGTTTTTTGGTGTGCCGTTTGAGGTTCCGGGTTTTCGACTTAGCAGTAAAAGATTGTATAAAATCACTCACATTCGTCAACATGTTTACATTCTAACGTCACGAGACCGTATCCGGACCGCCCCCCCCCCCCCCCCGTCCCAGTCGGTGGACCGGGCCCGTCAAGCACTGCTCCGACTCGGGGCCACTTACCGCCACAAGACCCCTGTTAGACACTGTTGCGCACGGGTGTTGATTTGTATTCTTTTGAGAGAGTCCTACCCCCCCCCCCCCCCACCAATGTTGAGTTGCTCCCCCCCACGTTGGCTTGGCCCCCTCATGTTTTGGCTGGAGTGCTACAAACAAGCGTAGGCAAAAGATAGCCACCACACACGGACTATTTTCTTTTGATCTTCCTGCCTATTTGCGGTCGACATGGAGAATGCAGCGGGGCAACTTGATGTATTCAACCTAAAATTATTTCCTCAAATGATTGGTAGCTTTGAATAGCTGGGGTCCAGTCCTTTTGTATATGACGTGTTTTTCTTTGTCCGTCAAACATAACCCCAGACGCTTATTCCCGAAACTGAATATGATACTGATGCCCCTGATTCACTGGTCTCGTGAATACTTTTATGCTAAGCGTCATTTTGTCTGCTACCCATGGAAGGCTACCACCCTAACCTTGCTGTATTTGAAACCCGACTTTTTTTTAGGTATGGTGTCACTGAGAAAATAAAAGCGGGCAGTAGAAAGCTATTTTTGGTGCGGCATCGTTGCGTCAGAATATATGTTCACCTTTTAAATGGAATATACAATACACATGACAGAAAACTCAGATTTTATCAGGCCAAATTTCGAATCGGACTCCGTGCTGAAAATAATTTTTTGCTTCACTTCAAACCCCACCCAATTATTGTAATGGAGGTTTGACGAACCCATTCTACCTCGGGCACTTGTCGAATAGCACAAAAGGACTTTTACCGTGCCATGCAATTACACGACTCTCGGCGCCCTGTGATCAGGCTGACGCTGTCTAGCCAGCAGTCAAACGGCACGCTTCAGCGAGCCATATACGCGCGCTTGTTCTCGAAGGTAAACCCTCCACTACGCGTTTCGCCACATCACAAATGTGGTCAGCATTACTTCAGTTGAGCTCAGCTCTACGAGAGTTGGGCTTTGGCAGCGACGATTGGTGTGTCTTCGCGGCAATATAGCTTTTTTGCGAGCATTTTGCGCGTTGCAGCCAACGGGTGCGCAGAAAGACAATGCCTGTTAACCGCCACATCACTAATTTCTCCCCAGAGATATCACCTGTGACCTAGAAATCAACCATGAGCAGTTTATTTCGGATGAATGAATGTCATCATCAATGATGGCGTTGCTGTTGCTTATACACACACCCACGCCCACACCCACACCCACACCCACACCCACACCCACACCCACACACACCCACACCCACACCCACACATAAATATATGTATATATATATATATATATACATCTATATCTATATCTATATCTATATATCTATATATCTATATATATATATATATTACATACACATATAATACATATACATATAATACAACGGGCCGCGATATTTTATGTGAACTGCCGGCAATCCTTCAGGCCCTCATGCCCTCCAACCGGGCCTTTGATCGTCGGTTCCGGTGGGTCGCTCAGTCGCCTCTTCGGGCCTGATCAAACACTTTCCTTGGTCGGTTGGGGACCCATTGCGAGCGCCGGACCCTCTGTTAGGCTCTGTGGGCCCCTGGTAGATACAGGGGCACCTGACTCAGTGTGAATCACTGGCCCCGTCTTTATAGCTGACTGGGAAGTGGGCCCTCAGGCCCATTACGACGCGAAGCAGACTGTGTGGTACTGGTGGTGCACGACCGACACACAGGCCTGCATCAACTTAGGGGGTCCCCAACCGGCGCAAAGGGCCCTCTGACTGATATTTGAGGGTCCGTCCTCATAGGCCGAGGCCCCTGAATAGGATCCCGACCGGACCTTCGCGACCTGATACCCCCGAATCGGACCCTTGGTCGTCGGACTCGGTGAGCCCTCTAGGCTCTCCTGTCCTCCTCAAACACTGCCTCAGGCCGACTCGGGGCCCCTTGTCAACAAAGGGCGCCTGTCAGGCGCTGTGGGGCGCCGCCAGAGCTGCGGCCCGATCAAAGTAAATCGCTGGCTCCGGCTTTGTTCCTGCTTGGGAAATGGGCCATCAGGCCGATGCAGCCACAGAGCCGACTGTGCGCTACCGGTGGTGTCTGACCAACATATAAGCCCTTGTCAACTCAGGAGACCCCTGATCAGCGCGCAGGACCTTCTGGTAAGCGTTGGAGTGCCCGGCCGAATGCGACTTCCGGCCGGCCTGTCGGGCCCTTCAGGTCCTCAAAGCGGGCCCTCTCGGGCCCGTCAGTGACTGTAGACTTCGGTCTTTAAATTGGCTGTGACGCGTAACATGGCGCATATGCAACAATTGTAAAGTTTTCTGTGTAAGCCGAGGCCGTGGGCATGGAGCGCTTGGAGTGAGTCCATTACGCTATGAATGAATTTTTACCATCCCGACGAGTCTTAATGTCTTGGTAATGTGGAGCTTAATATAAGTGTTCTTACGGCTCCTTATGTTATTGTAATGTATCCGGACATGCAATCCGACGTGCTTTGCGATTTCCTATCGCGGGGATAGCGCTTTGGCTGCACAAGTAAAAAGCGTAAGGTAGTAAGAATTGGCAGGTGTGGGCTTCTGCTGGCATGAAGTAATACATGATTACACCAGTTTTCAGTAGCATTAGGAACATTACAATTTCCTGTGTGACTGTTAACTTTTACTGAGTTTGTGGATATTAATGCAAGGTTTTTTGTCATGAGTGCTTTTTTATCAAACATTTCTACTGCTTAAGTCTTTCTCTTTCTCATATGTCAGGAACACCCAAAGCTCCACAAGACCTGGGCAATAAGAATTTAGGTCTTATGAAAAGTTATGATTGCAGTGCCCAAATTCCTGATAGGAACAAGCAAACTTTGAAGTATAAGGCAGCTTTGGAGCCAGCAGAATCCCAAACAACAGGCATCTTGGGACTTTTTTGCTTTTTAATTTCAACCATGATGTCCAGCAAAATTCCATCACTGTGAAAAGGTCACTGGCAAATCAGTATCTTCTATTACACCTGTACCAAGACTAAACTTCACACAACTGGCATCAGATGAAATAATGTTTTATAATGCTAGCTGGCATTCAAAGGCATGCCTTTTCTGGCTGGTGGTATGTTTTTTCATGTCAAATATGATTACCTTAGATATATCTATTACCAAGAAATATCCTCTCACAGTGGATGTGAGTAAGATATGAATTTAAGGATCAATTTTATGCACAATATTATGGTATTTACTATATTCCTTATGATAAAAGATGAGACAGTTATGTGATCTGTATTGAAAGCTGGCATTTGATCTTTCATGGGGATATATTTTAATGTTATTGACTTGATATGACATATTTATTGGTGCTAATCATGTATTTTGATAGGATGAATAGTACCTGACATTTCATGGAAAATAAGGGCAAGGAGAAAATGTCCTAAAAAGTAGTGTTTAAGTTATATTAATCAGCATTTTTAGATTATTTGCACAAGAGTTATGTTAAAACAATAGAAAGTGTTCCAGAGCATGACACAGCTTGTCATCTGTATGTAGCAAATGAACATTTCATAACAATAGTTGTGTGTAGGTGAGTGAAATTAGGCCAGGATGCCAACACTTAACACTAGTGGTCCGTGGAATGCAAAAGACATCACAAAGAAGACCACGTGGAAGCCATGAACTATAATCAGCAATGCCTGTGAATGCCATGAGCTGGATCTCGACCATGTGCCATAAGCTGCGTTACTGCTCTCAGTTGTTTTTTTGCATTATGATGTGCATGAAGATTACAGATCAGCTCAAACCTCTTCCTTGTCAAAATGGGTTGTGCCAGGCACTCCACCCCAGTTAACAGCCTCTCCCTCTCTGATCACCAGGTAGGTGGACAGCCGGTTGAGGCCTCTCCAGGCGCCGCCATGCGGTTGGCCGTGTTTGTCTGTCTGTTCATGAACATCCTGTTCGCCACCATCATCTTCTACACGTACATGGTGTGGTCGCGCTACTGGCACGCCGTGGTGCTGGCGCGGCCGCCCAACTACCTCTCAGCGGCCTACATGCAAGAGCTGCGGCGGCGGCGCGCCCACCCGGTCGCCGCGCGCGGGCCGCCCAAGACGCGCGCGCCGTACGTGTTCCACCCGGATGAGCGGATCGCGCACCACCGCGCCCTGACGCTGGCGCAGCTGCGCCGCGTCCAGCTCGACTGGAAGATGCAGCGGCCGGCCAACAAGTACGGCGTGCGCTTCACCGGCCGGCGCGACCAGGCGGCCAGCACGCGCACGCCGGCCGAGCTGCTGTGTGCTCTGCGCCGCGCCACCGTACGCCCGCTGACGGCCGCCGACCAGCCGTTCGCCGGCGTCGGGCTGGGCAAGTACTTCCCGACGGTGGCGCCGCTTGGCGGCCGCTCCTTCAACGCGTGCGCCGTGGTGGCCAGCTCCGGATCGCTGCTCAACTCTGGGCTCGGCGAGGAGATTGGTGAGTGCTGGGTGTACTGGTGAGTGGTGGGTACGGAGATTGGTGGGTGGTGGGTGCGGAGACTGGTGAGTGGTGGACGCGGGGATTGGTGCGTGGTGCGCGCGGAGATTGGTGAGTGGTGGGTGTGAAAATTGGTGAGTGGTGGGCGCGCTGCGGTCCGCGTGCGTTCGCCTTGGCGGGCCGGCCCTGGCCGCAAAACAGTTTGGCCCAAGGCCAATGACAAGGCGAGGGAGGGAGCGACGGAAGGAGGTCCGAAGCATGGTCCGACGTTGCACAATCCTGGCGAACAGACGTTTATTCACAAAACACGTATCGCGTCTAGACGTTGGCTTCATTGTGTCCAAACCTGGTCATGCGCCCTGGACTCGGGACCTCCCGCTGTCACTGCCCTAAGCTGGCTGGCCACCTGTGTGGGACGTCCATGTCATTAATCGGTACCGGCCGGCCCACGCCCTGACCTGGCTCCCGCCCGGCCACCCCCAGACCAGCACGACGTGGTGGTGCGCTTCAACAACGCTCCGACGATCAACTACGAGCTGGACGTGGGCACGAAGACCACGCTGCGGCTGCTCAACTCGCGCGTCATCAGCGAGCCGCAGTTCGACTTCCTCGGCAGCTCGCTCTACAAGGACGTCTCGCTCATGGCCTGGGATCCGAGCCGGTACAGCGGTGACCTGCAACAGGTGCGCGCGCGGCGCGGAGGCGGTGCTGCCGTCGGTGGGGTCTGGACCCCGGCAACGGACCGACGGATTGAGCCACCTTTGGGGTGTTTGTATGCATGGGGGGAGGGAGCTCCTCAATGTGGATTGGGCCCACCCAGCAACCCAACTCTTGTTGCGACACGCCTTTGCGTGTGAACTGAGAAACGTGACCTTCGCAGCCTCTGTCGCTTCTCTCTGCACTGTAGCTGCCATCGCTAGGTATCCGGCCATCGCTCAGACAACGGTTTATACAGACGGCGTCCACAATATTGTCGACGCGTCATGTGTCTAGGCGGCCTCGTCGCACAAATCCAGCGATGATTGGAATAAGTCATAGAGGGTTGAAGGGTACTGGACCATGAGTGGCATCTTGTATGCATGTGCGCATCAGTTTATATGCTGCACCACGATCAAGTGCAATGGTACACTGCACTGAGGGGCGGTACTTCCCGGCATCGAGCAATGTCAGACGACCATCACGGGATGACTCGCCGCTCACGTGTTGTAAGCGAGGGCGCTGGTGGATCAGGACCATTTTTCATCGAAAGCTGTTATTTCCACGTTGACTGAGGCAGTCGCCAGTGTGCTGTTGAAAGACGATCTTCGCTCTAGTCACTACACCTCACTGCCACTGGCTATCGCTCGCGGCTACATGTACCCCACGGTTATGACGCCGAATCGCCGCTGCACGTGCTGTGCCGTCTTGTTTGGGAGCAAATTTTTCTACTTCTAGAGCGAATACTGCATGTTGGACAGCATGTGATAAGAGACTGCACCCCGTATCTGTACGGGCTGGACTATGGACATGTGAACTTAGTGCTGGCGCTTGGTAGTCAATACGGTCAACGTATTTGTTTGCTAGCGATCTTTCAGGCTGTGTCCGACGAACTCAAACATGTTGGCAAACTTTGCCTGCTTGCTGGCCGTGCATGCCAGGAGTTTTAGGCTAAGTGCATTTTGGACAGTGCTTCAAGATTATCACGAAGTTTCTGATGAAACGCCGATCTTGCCGCATCGCTTAATAAGATGAGTGACTCGCTTTGACATAAGTGGCTCTCTTTGGCGTGAGTGACTTGATTCGGCGAGGGCTGTCCTGCGGCAACAGCCCCCTTGGCGCCAGCTGGGTAGGCGCTGTCCGAACGCTGGGTGCCGTCCAGCAGTCTGACGCCGGACCACCGGCCGGCAGTGGTACCGCAGCCCGGACTTCCCCGTGTTCGCGGCCTACTTCCAGCGAAGGCTGATGCTGCCGGACGAGGACTTCCACCTGCTGGAGCCGGGCTCGCTGTGGCGCGTGTGGGACTTCCTGCAGACGCACACGCACACCAGCGTGCTGCCCAACCCGCCCTCCTCCGGCTTCATGGGTGAGTAGCGGCCGGCGAGCGGCGGGCCGGCGGCGCGACGGGCACGTGGTTCGATCCCCTCGGTGCTGCCTACGTGGAATGGCGTACTCACGGGCTTGCAGCACGTCGCAGCGGCTGCGGGACGCTTTTGGCTGGTTTTATGTGTTTTCGTGGATCGTGAGTTCTGGAAGGACCCGGGTAATTTTGATTTGCTGATCCTGCATCTGTGGAAATTCTTCGTTGTCATTTCATTTCAAATCCCCGGCAATTTCCGATCTAAGATCCAGGACTCGTATCTGCGTACTGGCGGAACCCATTAACGCGGCCCGAACGCACATCCACCCGCCTCTGCAGTCACCACCTGCGTCACGTTCGGCCGCGCCGCCCCGTCACCCCCGGCCGCCCCACCGGCAGGCATCGCGCTCATGCTGGACCGCTGCCAGCACGTGGACGTGTACGAGTTTGTGCCGTCGCTGCGTATGACCAAGCGCTGTCACTACTACGACGTGGAGGAGAACGAGTTCTGCACGCTGGGCGCCTGGCACCCGCTGGCCACGGAGAAGCTGCTGGCTCTGCGGATGAGCACCGCCTCCGACCGAGACGTGTTCGAGCGCGGCGTGCTGCGCCTGCGCGGCTGGGGCGGGCTCAGCTGCAGCTGATGACGCGCGCCGGCGAGCGCCAGGTGCCGGGGGGCAGGGGGTGCCGTGCCGTGGTGTGCTGTGCTGTGCTGCGCTGTGTGCTGCGTGGAAAGAGGAAGGGAGGTGGTGGGGTGGTGGCTCGGGTGGGGAGTGCGGGCTACTGCACGGGGTGGCGGTGGGCCGGCCGGAGGCGGTGTTTTACGTTTGAGGCCCGACACGTTGGCCAGCAGCCTTGTGTGAGCGGCTCAGCGTCGTGCCGAGACGATACTGGATGCTGATGATTGCTGATGCGGCGTCCGATCAGGGGACTGCGTGTGACGTTTGCGTGAGCATTTCTTCATATCTAGTCATCAGAGGCAGTGCGCGATACTAGTCATCGGACGAATTTGACCGATTTGTTTTCGTTGTCAGGGTTAGTGCTTCTACGGCCTCTATGTTGTGAACGATTGGAAAACCGTGATTCCCTCCGTGATTTCGGTTGATTTTTGGAGCCAGTAGTTTCCATATGACACCAATACTTTGCATTGTGGTCTCGGAGTCGAACGTGGTTGAAGCTGAGATTATTTCGGTTTATCTAGATTGCCAATGGTTAGATACGTGTCTTCCAGTGCAGGGATTTTCGGTTTGTGCGTCCTTTACCAGATCTAGTCATGCAAGCTAGGCTGCAATGCTAGTCGCGGCAACGGTTGGTGTGGTTAGTCATATGCGGATGACCTAAGGCATTTTAAGGATGTCGAAAACGCTGGGAGGATCAGTGGGGATATTTCGAGATTGTCGGACCTCCGGTAATGTCGGAGGGCTTTGCCAACCTCATAGCCCCGTGGCATGCTTTGTCATGTCGTAGGACGGCGGAGGGTGGTGACGGCTATTGGCGTTCGTTGCTGCCAGCGGTCCAGCCTGAACCGCCGCTCATATCTTAAGTGTGTGTGGCCGTGCGTGGGACTGACCACCTCAGCCCTGAGGTGTCATAGAGGGCTCTGCGATCATCCGGGAGCCCCGTGGACCCTGGTGCTACTTGTTTTGGTGTTAGCGAGGTTTTTGGTGGTTACCGTGTACATGGTTGTCGGCCCCCGGGTTATCGAGAGCGCTTTGATTGCGTTAAGAGGATTTCTGACCAATCGGCGGTCACATGTCGTTTTGTGTCCCTGTAAGCGTCCGGGGAATATGACCTTTTGGCCTGATAGCGACCTCATCATTCTGGCCCAAGTGTCCTGAACCCTACAGCGGCACGTGGTCCGCTTCATGATCTCTGGACTGTCTCGAATGATCCTGGCCACTTCTGGGCCCATTTTGAGATCCGGTTTACATTGCCGACACACGACAAGTGCGGAGAAAGCAAAGACATCGCTTTTCGTAGCGTGTGTTGAAAGCGGTACGAAGCACGCGTTGATTAAAACATTCAATCATGTGTTATTCAGCTGTGAGATTAAGGCCATGCGACAGTTGCCTGGTGCCATGACCAATGAGGTTCTCACCCAGCTAAGCTTGTCTGACGCTGTGTCCCGCCAATGCTATTGCTTTAATAATTTTGCTAGTGTTTTGAACGGCTGACATGATGCTACTTGCACCAAATACACCATGTACGTGAAGCCCTGGTTGCGCAGCAGGCCGTTCATCAGGGTTTTTGTTGTCTTGATGGATGCGGAGCCTGAGCGGGACATGACCGGGAGCTGGTGTTTTCGAGTGGTGCTGTGAGCGCGAGACCGTGCAGTGACGGCGTGACCGACCGGGTGCGCCGTGGACGTGGGCCTGCCACGCTCTAGCCGACGAGTTAGCGCATTTCTTCCACCGTGCGGCAGTGAGATCGAGGCCGACTGGCTCATCGGAGGTGGAGTTTATTCCGACGCGCTTCGGTCTGCGCCTCGCAGTCCTGCGTTGACGCTATCGACCAATTGTGGAGATAGGAGCACTTTGAAATCGATGGTCGTCAGGGTAACGCATGGCATGAGTCGTCGGCGATCGCATGAGTCGGTGACACATGGCATGAGTCGTCGGCGATCGCACGAGTCGGTGACGCATGGCATGAGTCGTCGGCGATCGCATGAGTCGGTGACACATGACATGAGTCGTCGGCGATCGCACGGGTCGGTGACACATGGCATGAGTCGTCGGCGATCGCATGAGCCGGTGACGCATGACATAAGTCGTCGGCGATCGCATGAGTCGGTGACGCATGGCATGAGTCGTCGACGACGCATAGGAGCGTACCTTTTTGTATTGTCCTTCAAGCCGACTTCGCTCCCTTCGCCCTCCCCCAGGCGGCGTTCTCGACCCCCTGCCAATATACGCGCTCGGGTCCACGATTGGACGTCAGGGCGTTGGTGGAACGCTGCGGCAAGTGGCCCGTATGCGCTTGAATTTTCACGGGAAAACCTGCAACGAACCTTCCCTGCTGCATGCTTTACGAGAACGCCATTGGAATTCGATTGCATTCTAAACAGGGGTGTTCCTTGTATTAAGCCCCCTCCCTCTTCCCGCCGTGCCAGTGCAGTTGGGAGGATTATTTAACCCCCAGTCTTTTGTTGAGGATCAGTGAAAACGTTTTGCGTGCCGCACATCGTTCTGCTGTGCACATTGACCTATCCAAGTATTTTATAGGTCAATGACTGTGCTACATAATCGCCCTGCGCCGGTACGACCGTATCAGATCTACCAACCTACATACCAGCCCCTACGGCATACCATAGCCGCGCTTCCCGTCGTTGCGTCCCTAATAGGAAGATAGGTTTATTATCTTGCTAATGAGCCGCTCCGTATTGTCAGCATGACGATATCGGTTGTGCGTTTATTTACCGCAAGCAATTCCAGCAGAGGCCAACACCAGAGCTGCCCACATGATGCACAGGTTTTAAGTGCCAATGGTATGAGCAATAAAGAGGCTTTGTCGTCTAGACATGTTTATATTTTGGTGTCTCTGGCTGGTTCTGTGGTTGAATGTGGTTTTTGTTTTTTTGTGGTATGTCGGGTCATGTTAGTGTTTTTTGGTGTTTACTGAACCCTTGGGTGTTTACCGGACACTGGTGGTGCCACATGTGCCGGATGGGCTGTGGTGGTGTAATCATATTCAACATCATTGCGAATGAACCGTCGTAATATGTGTGTCTGAATGACATTGAGCATTTTGTTGGCATTGTGAAGAGCTCCTCGTGCAAGGAATCGACTGATATACCATCAGGCTGCCAGGGCTCTGGCAATCCTGGAACCTGGCTGTGGCCCGTGAAAAGATTCACGCTCGTGTGCTTTGGTACCTTCCTGCATTTTAGTCATTATACATTAAGAAGTTTGCGTTGTGTTTGAGGGATGTATTTGAACAATCCATCTGCAAGGTGAGCATTCTTTAGTCCACTTTTAAAGCGATATTCAAATTGCTCCAATCTTGACTTATCAGCAGACAGGATGGGTGTACAGGTATAATAGTTGTTATGATCTGGCATGCAAATTCTGTGGATCTTTCAGATGTGGAAATGAAGAACTCATGTGGATAAATGTGGATAGCCCTTTTCTTTTTGCTCCTGTGTGTGTGGGTCACAAGTTTTTGAACTTTGAACTCTCAACTTTATGCTGCTGCACACATTTGTTTGCTGACAATCTGTGTGTCAAGTGTTGGTTTTGGCTTGTCTTGTTGTGTGGACTTGAATAATTTTTTTGTAATGATGCCAGACTGCAAAAATACATGTCCAGTGTAGCAGCAATGTGGCTGCAATGAGTTTAAGGCACATATGCTGTCAGCACAGGCTTTCAGAGTTTGGTGCAAGGTTACCATCAACTTAAGCACAAAGAAAACTAATTTTTCAAGGCATTATTTTGTTGCTTAGATAATTTCTGGCTAAAATGCTTGATAAACATTTTTCTCACAAAAATAGTTCAAAATCAATGTCATTCAGCCTGGCCTGAGTATGGCATGCAAGAGAGAGGTTCAGTGTTCCAATACCAGACACAGATGCCATAATGTGTCACCTGGGCAGCAGTGAGTAGTTTTTTCAGACTGGCATCTGATTAGCTGTTTGACAATAATTTGGCTACTGAAATGTGACACCTGATTAGCTATTAATTAGATTACTGATGATTCAAGTGGTAACATATTCATATTTCATACTTCGCACATCTTACAAATGCCCAGATTGGTTTCATATGGGTATGGAAGCAGACTTGCCAAACAGCTTGCTTGTGGATGAACTTGGGAGTGGCCTGGTCAAGTGTAGAAACAAGTGAAGTCTTGTTTAGCCAGGGCAGACTTGATTTCTACAAAATGTGACATGATACTAGTTGAGAATCAAGTCACTGCTATCATTTGCTTCAAGTCATATTTTCAATTCTGGGCTTTTGTGCTGGTAAAAGTGCACATTCACATTGTAAACCATCATGACTGTAATGAAGTCATTTGGATTAGATGTAAGTCTGAATCCATGCCTTTTAAGCAGTTGAAATTTAATGAAGAGGATATCATGTTGTAAATCAAGAGTTGAATGCACCTCCTGCTCTGTATGGTATGTTAGGGCAGAATTAAACAAAAGTCTGCCAAACAAGGTTGTGCTTGACTTAAGTAAAATCCTATTATGCCTTATCAAAATTATTTTTAATGGAGATTTGTGGATACCGGCTGGCTGCGATAGCATTCATGCCCCTAAATTAATGATTTTAGCCAGCATTTGACATGACCTGAAATATTAGAAGCCAAGTAAATCAAGGTCCTACCAAACCCCATAAGCATTAATATTAAAGCAAGAAAGATCTGATACAACCTTAGTGACATTGGTTTTATTGATTTGTAGGCTTGTAAGATTGTTCATTAAGGTTGCTCAACTATGATGTCTGAATGTGCTGATTTCACCTTTCAGTGATGAGGCTTTGAGCGAGTTGGCCCGCTTCCTGAAGGTTGAGGCCAGACAAGATGTGAAGGCTGCTGCTCTGCAGCATGTTCTTGGTATGTGATGATCATGATGTACCATTAACAGTGCTATTATCTGGGATGAGATCTTTACCACATTGAACAGTACAACTTGGCTTCAAATGGTGATGCGGTTTAATGTGTTTATTTCCTATGTGACAACAGTTTTATAGGGGATGGTTTGCTGTTGTGCTAAGCACATCACAAATAATGGTAGTCTTAAATCTAGAATCCATGTTTCTTGCATGAGCTCCACAGGATTATGGCGAGTTTGGATTTGTTATGACCTTCAGCTCTTACTGAAGGCCGACTCCAGATGTATCAGCGGCAAGACATATCCATGTGTATCAGTGACCAGGCATATCTCGACCCACCTGTCCATACAGACTGGTCCTGTGTCACATCTGAGGCCCGCCGTGTCTGGCGTCCTCCCTCCGCCACGGACCGCGCCTGTAGCGTTGGTCGCTGCTCGCTCGCCTGGGCGGTGGCGCCCCGCGTGACCCCCGCCCCCCCCCCCCCACCACAGACACCTCCTGTACCGTCGGTTCCGCTTGCTCGCTCCGCCGGCGGCGCTCCACGTGACCCCTCCCCCCCCCTCCACCACAGACCCCTCGTGTACCGTCGATGGCCGCTCGCTCGGCTCGGCGGCGGCGCCCCGTGTAACCCCACCCCCTTCCACCACAGACCCCTCCTGTACCGTCGATGGCCGCTCGCTCGGCTCGGCGGCGGCGCCCCATGTAACCCCACCCCCTTCCACCACAGACCCCTCCTGTACCGTCGATGGCCGCTCGCTCGGCTCGGCGGCGGCGCCCCATGTAACCCCACCCCCTTCCACCACAGACCCCTCCTGTACCGTCGATGGCCGCCCGCTCGCCTCGGCTGCGGCGCTCCACGTGACCCGCCCCTCCCCGGCAGGTCTGACCGGCTCGGACGCCGGCTGCCGGCAGCTGATGGCCGCGCCCGAACTGCTGTCGCGCCTGAAGCAGCTGATGGCCGACGAGGCGTCGGCGGCGGCCGGCCGGGACGCGAGTCTGGCGCTGCTCAGCCTGTCGGGCCGGGCGGCGGCCGCGCAGCCTCTGCTGGCGGCGCCCGGGCCCGACACGGCCGCGCTGCTGCTGCGGCTGGCGGCGCGGCCCGACAGCGCACTGGCCGACCCCTGCTGCATGACGCTGTCGAACCTTAGCCGCGCGCCGGCGCCGTGCCGCGAGCTGTGGCGCCGCCTGGAGGAGGGCCCTGTCACCGTGGACGACCTGGTGACGGCCCTCTGCCAGCGCGACTACAACACGGCCGGGTGTCACCTGAACTACCTGGGGCCGCTGCTGTCCAACCTCACCCAGCTGCCCGAGGCCCGCCGGTACGGCCGCCGCCGAGCCTCGGGCGCCGACGGCACGGCGCTCGTAGCGGCGTGTGTGCTCATGTCCGGTCACGCTGACGCGCGGGTGCTGGAGTGCCCAAGGGTGCTGGGGCTTGTGCTCATGGTCCTACTTCCGCGTGTTGTCACTGCTGTTTGTTATGAACCGCCCGGTGCGCACCGAGCATGAGAAGCCATTGTCGGTCATTCAGCCCCTGTCAGCCATTCAGCCACTGTCAGTCATTCAGCCACTGTCAGCCATTGTCTGTCATTCTGTCAGCGGGTTACCTACGAACTACGATCGCGTATTATGCCAGCGCCCGACGTCGGCGCGCCCTAAAACTTCAGCCGTCATAAATGTGTCAGTGTCGCCATGCTGCCTCGCAAAGTACAGAGCTCTCCATTTGGTTGTTTCGGCGTCTGACCTTACCCGTGGAGTACAGCTTTTGGCACCATTCTGTTGACAGGTACATGCTGAGCAGGGATCGAGTGCTGTTTCAGCGCCTGTTGCCCTTCACAGAGTACAAGGAGTCACTGGTACGGCGAGGAGGCGTCGTCGGCGCCATCAAGAACTGCTGCTTCGAAACAGGCATGTATCGTGCGGATAGAACGCGAGCCAGGCACGGCTCTGCCGCGCGGAATGATGAACGGTCCGGCCAGGCGACGTTGACTGGCGTCGCCGTGCCGTTACCGTGCTTGCCGCGTCGGAGGTGAAGGCTAACATCCACGTGTTATGATGCGGATGATGTATGCTGCATGTGATGTCTCGGTGGCGTTGTGCCATGCTCAATTATTTTTGTATGATTGTACGCTGCCCCTATCTCGGAGTTCGCCGCTTAACCACATCAGCAGATATATGGCTGTGTTTGGTCCGTGCCATCTGTCGGCCCGACGTCAGCGGCGACTCTGCCGCCGCAGAGAGCCACCTGTGGCTGCTGGGTGACGAGGTGGACCTGCTGCCGCGGCTGCTGCTGCCGCTGACCGGCCCGGAGCCGTACGACGACGAGGACATGGAACAGCTGCCCGTCGACTTGCAGTACATGGACGAGAGCAAGACGCGGGAGCCCGACGTCGACATACGCCGCATCCTCCTCGAGGCCATGACACAGGTGCGCGTTGATGTGAAGCCACCTGACCTGACCTGACCTCACTTCACTTAATGTCACCTCACCTCACCCCACCTCACCTCATCTCATCTCATCTCATCTCATCTCATCTCATCTCATCTCATCTCATCTCATCTCACCTCATATCACCTCACCTCACCTCACCTCACCTCACCTCACCTCACCTCACCTCATCTCATCTCATCTCACCTCACCTCACCTCACCTCACCTCACCTCACCCGAGCCGGTGCTCCGATGGCCGCCTGCCCCGGCTAGAGCTCTCCCGACGCCGGCTCTCTGGCGCCTCGGTGCACACACCGAGCGGAGGTCTCGCAGCACCCCCCCCCCCCCCCCCCCTAAGAACCGTGCGGTATCGCGACGTGCGAGGCCGTGCTGGCTGGCACTGTTCCCAGAGAAACGCCCGCTGGGCGGGTGTTCGTGACGTCGATGTTGGTGAGCGCCAGTGTGCATACATGTCTTGGACACCCCTGAGACCCAAGCTGAATAATTCGGGGTGAGGGACAGAAAAGCCCGGTGGGATCTCTGCTAATAGGGGAAGCATGGGAACAAGGCCGCTGAGCCGGAAAGATGGGACAGAAGTGAAACGAATAAACTGTATTCGTTTCACTTCTTCGTATAAGGAAGGTAGCAGCTCACGCTGCTCGGACGCGGACGGTGTCATGCCATCTACAATGGCCGTATCGGGCGATGAGGGAAGACTAAGGAAATACATACAGAATGACAGTGGGGCAAATGGTGGGAGAATGTTACATGTGCTCTGCAGGCGTCGCTGCTTCCTGTGCGTCGTCTCGTCCCCCTTTGTCCCGTCACGTGACGCGTTTGTTAGTTCATCGCTCTATCGCCGGGTGTGGCGTGCCGTTCACATCTGATGCATGCCGCCGGCCAGTAGCCTTATTATTCACGGATTGTTGCTATGATTTTTTATTCTGACATTCTTTGCTGGCCTGTTTTCACGTTTTATTTTTGTTTAGAATTCTGCCAATATCTATCTGCTCTCCATATATGTCTGCTGTCCTTGTATCGGTGGGTTCTGTTTCCCTCCATGTTCCTTCACATACCATGCACATTTATACCCACACATTTCTCACGACTTTGCGCTGGGAAGTATGACGCCATTGAAAGCTTCCCGATGTGAACTCTTGCGCCTACAAGTGTCCAACACCGACACTTGTTTACACGCGTCATCCGCCCGGCTTGGACAGCTGCGCACGGCTGGGTACCGTCTGAACACTTGCATCCACGGTAGCACCGATCAGCCGCGCGAGCCAGTCGGAGGCCCAAGCTGCACACATCGGCTCTCGGGCGCGTCCGACAACGGTGTCCTCAAAGTGTCGCGACCGAACGTGTTTTAACCGGGATTCGAACCCTGGCGCCCACGTGGGAGTCCAAGGCGCCAACCACTCGGCGACCGCGCCCCCGAGCGGTGCTGGGTGACGCGTCGCACTCACCGACGGCCTCGCTGGCAGCTGTGCGCGACGACAGACTCGCGCGAGCTGGTCAGGGGCAAGGGTGCCTACCTGATCCTGCGCGAGTACCACAAGTGGGAGACAGACGAGGAGGCGTTGCGGCTCTGTGAGGAGTTGGTCAACATCCTCATCAAGTAAGGGACGCGGCAGACCACGTGGGCGCTAGTGCCAGCTCGCCAGGCGTGTGGTGATCCTGGTTTGATAGTGAACGCGTCTGGATAGTACAGGGAATGTGAGCGAGTGATCGCCGCTTGGACATGCCTGGCCGTGGTGAGCGGGGTGTTTTGCGCAGTGGGCTTCAAGCTGGCGTCGGCGGAGCTGCGCCGCGCCGCTTCTGATTCGCTGTCTCTGACGGGTGTTCTGGTGGGCCCCGTGGTGCTGCGTCTGCTTGGCTGTCTCTGACGGGTGTTCCGGTGGGCCCCGCGGTGCCGCTTTTGCTTCGCTGTCTCTGACTAGTGTTCCGGTGGGCCCCGTGTTGCCCCGTCTGCTTCGCTGTCTCTGACTGGTGTTCCGGTGGACCCCGTGTTGCCCCGTCTGCTTCGCTGTCTGACGGGTGTTGCGGTGGGGCCCGTGGCGCCGGTTCTGTTTCACTGTCTCTGACGGGTGTTCCGGTGGGCCCCGTGGCGCCGCGTCTGCTTCGCTGTCTCTGACGGGTGTTCCGATGGACCCCGTGGCTCCGCGTCTGTTTCACTGTCCCTGACGGGTGTTCCGTTGGACCCCGTGTTGCCCCGTCTGCTTTGCTGTCTGACGGGTGTTCCGGTGGACCCCGTGTTTCCGCGTCTGCTTCACTGTCTGACGGGTGTTCCGTTGGACCCCGTGTTGCCTCGTATGCTTTGCTGTCTCCGACGGGTGTTCCGGTGGACCCCGTATTTCCGCGTCTGCTTCGCTGTTTCTGACAAGTGTTCCGTTGGACCCCGTGTTGCCCCGTCTGCTTTGATGTCTCTGACGGGTGTTCCGGTGGACCCCGTGTTTCCGCGTCTGCTTCGCTGTCTCTGACTGGTGTTCCGTTGGACCCCGTGTTGCCCCGTCTGCTTTGATGTCTGACGGGTGTTCCGGTGGACCCCGTGTTTCCGCGTCTGTTTCGCTGTCTCTAACGGGTGTCCCGGTGGACCCCGTGGCGCCGCGTCTGCTTCGCTGTCTCTGACGGGTGTTCCGGTGGACCCGGTGGCACGGATCACAAGACGCGATGCCGCGCCGCGTCGGACCGTGCCGGTCGGTCTGCGCTGGTTAAGGCAATGGCCAGCCGTAGTACTAAATCTATTTGGCCCGACATCCGAGGCCCCGTCGCGATTGGGATAACGGCCCAAGGATTTGCCGCCCAATGTGACGACCTGATCACGTCGGCGTCACGGAAGGCTACTCGTCGCTTCGTCAGGGTGGCGGCAGGTTGAGAAATCGGTGTCACGTCTGCAACGGGACGCAATTGTAACGTGTTCGTCCTTGTTAAAGTGAGTCTCGTATCTGAGTGCTATCAGCAGAGGACAAAGCATGCTTGGGCAGCATACCCCGGGCGTTTTTACAGCATCTATTATTGTTGTAAAGAGGTCGGGGTATTATGATTTGGTCAAGACAGGATCCGTTGCATCATGTCTTGTGTAATGTCACACCAAACTGTTAACCGGGTAGCAGCGGCGGCTGGCGGCCATACCGGTGTCCGTTGGCGTTGTTATTCCTGATCACGTGGCACATGTCTTTCTGCACAGTCCGGCATGCAAGAGGCTGGCTGGCAAATCGCATTCAAGGCCATTTTCTCGTGATGCATAGCAATCTGGCTTTCTCAGTTTAAACTGCGTTTTTCATGCAAAGGCGAAAGATTTCCCGTAATCCCGTACTTCTTGATGATAAAAGTGGGCTGATGCTCCAGATTCGCCACTGACAAGGCGAGAATGACTGCAATATGATTTTCTGTGGCTGTGAAGACATGGCCTGCCGGGATTTGAGCGTACACAGTCGTCCTAGTTTAGTGAAGGTGCAGTCAAGTGATAACGGTACATGGGACGACCAGGACCCGTCATGGTCTGGTATGCGAACGTCACTGGTTCGGCCGCCGGGCCTGCTGGTACCGCTTCAGCGCAGTCTATTGGCTGACGGTCGACGTCCTGTGGTGTTTGTGTTGCTCCGCAGCCCGTGACTGGATTGCTCTTGTGATTTGCTCGACTGATCGGCGGTCCGTGGCCGGTGTTGTCCCGTGTTCTGCTGTCATTGTCAGTGCGGCTGCCGACAGGACGGAGCCCGAGATCGGCGTGGACAACCTCAAGGCGGTGGACATCCCCAGCGACGTGGCCGCCCGGCTGGACCAGGTCACGTGACCACACAGGCCGCACGGACGCCTTCTTTTCAATATATTTACAACAACTTGGACTTGTGCTGTACATGAAAATGAAAGGCTCGGACAAACCATGAATGAAACGATTTTGATTCGTTTTCACGTGCGCCGCCGGCTGGACGCCTGCGGCGTACAGAGCCGCACCGCGGCAGACAGCAGGCGGCGGCGCGCCGCCGGCCGCTGGCGCCTCCCCCTATGTACACGGCGCGCCGGCGGCCAGGCGGACGCCACACAACTCAGGGACGCGCGCGCGCGAACCGACGGTGCTTTTGGCACGGCGGGACCACAACAAACAAGAACGCGACGTCGAAAGAAGCTCTCAGATCCGGCGGCCGGGCGACGCGCTCGCGGGAGCGCGAGCGGACGCCGCGGCCCGGGCGGCGCACCAGACAGGTCGGACCGCGCGCAGAACAAATGCAGCCGCGCAAAGCCGGTGCGGAGAACAATTGCGGTCGCGGGATGCCGGCGAGCGGACGCGATGAGAATGTTATGAACACAAAACGACACAAAATGGCTCATGAGATGCAAAAGGCATTGTCCTCAGAATAGAAGCATGCATTGTTCGCGAGCGGCATCCGAAATGTACAGCAGTCAACACTGACCTATCAACATCTCTTTATATCAAATAAATCAAATATTGTACTCTCCGTAAGGTAGTCAACAAAAGAAGGAAAATATCCGATCCAATTAATTTAAATAAAACAAACACATTACGCTTACTTATAAATATTTGGACCAAATGGATCCACAACACTGATAGGTTTCTCTCTCTCTCTCCCACCCTTTCACTCACGTATTCTTCGCACTCGCGACGACATCCGCGCATACGCTCGCTCGCACTGTCACGCTCTCTCCTATCTCTCCGTCTGCCGCGCGCGCGCACAAGTCTCAAACACTTGTATGGACACGTTTGTTTTCACTGCCGGCGGCGGCGGCGGCAGCGGCCGGCGGGCGGACTGGCAATACTGCAGTCTGGGGCCTGCCGCGGGCCGGCTATTGCATGAAGCCGCCGTAGTCGGGTTGGTCGCCCTCTTTCTCGAACCGCTTGGCCTCCTCTTGCATGCTCTCCTTGATTTTGAGTATCGCCGCCGACTCGTTCGAGTCCTGCCGACACAGGGGGAGTTGTGAGCGGCGGACGTGCGGGCTACGAGGGTCGGCCGCACCGGCGGCGACAGGGCCCCGCGCCGCTCGCAGCGCAGCGCGCACGCCGTGACGACCAGGCAGCCAGGCCGCATCAGAGGCGCTGCAAGAGGAGTGCTGGTGAGTGTCCAGACACGTGGAGGCGGTCCGTCACCTAACCCGGGTGTGTCATGTTTGTTGGGGCGCGGCAGATCATGACGCGTGGCCGGCTCCCGGGGCAGCTGGCATCCACGCTGACGGAGGGGCCGGCGGGTCGGCTCTCGTGCTGCCGCCCTAGCCCTGCGGGCATCCGCGGCGACGGCAGGACCCCGCCCAGTCTAGGCCACGTCCTCGGCAGCGTTGTGAGGCTCCGCCAACGGCAGGAAGGTACGGGCGGCTCCCGGGTAAGAATGTGAGAAGCACTTCAACAAGGCATCAACCCCGAAACTTGATCGCGAGCTATTTTAAATCAGGGGTATGCTTTTATGCCAACCAACTTTCGATTTTGTGTATTTTGTAGGCCTTGTCCGGCTTTGCTACAGCCGTTGTGCCAACTTGATGGTCAAGCACCGCGCCAGTAGAAGCTGAGATAGCATGCAACGACATTCACTGCGCTCTCATACTCGGACGCTATGAAGTGCCGCCGCCGGCACGCTTCCGAAAAGTCAAACTAGTGCTCGATATTTTTACCCTCTAAACCGCGCATCCGACTGAGACCAGAACGTTCACGGCCGGGTGCGACGACACTACTGGCTTGTCGTGCCCCTTGAAGAATGCAGCTCCGTGGCCACACATCGCCGGCATTTTAAACGGCATCCTCTGCCGGCCGTTCGCGTAACTCATGTCCTCGATCGTTTGCATACGATGTCGCTCGTTGCCTCGTCGGATAATGTATTCTAAGTCCTCTCACATTCATCGGGAATGAATCGGTCGCTTCACTCCCTGGATCATACCAGCGACTGAACAGCAGACGGGATCGCTTAGCGTGTCCCAGACGCATAGTTAACAGGACACGGGCAGCGGTCAAACAGGCCCCGAGTATCGGCAGGCAGGCCGGAGATAGCACTGCGCAAATGTGACCTGCGTTAACTGATAACGAGTCCACTGCAGATTCAAGGTGGTGTATCTTGAACATCAGTATACACCTCAGCGGGCTTTAAGTCTTTGTCTGGTCGTCACATGATAGCAGCGGGAAATAATTACGCCAGCAATCGATCAGGCTGAGACGATGACAAAACGTACCATTTGGCAATGCGCCCGAGGCAAATCTTGTCACTGGTTGCATGTCTGCGACCATCCCTCAGCTCTCCGATACAATGCGTGCTCTTTCTGTTGCGCTACCAGCAAGTTCCACGGGGCTTCGAGGTAGGGGCGATGCCGACGCTCGGCGCCACACGGCGGCCGCCCCCAGCGCCATCTACCGCGGAGCCTGCCCCGTCTACCGAGTCGCGCGCTCACCCGCTCCACTCTCCGGCCCCGATAAAGGCAACAACAACGCCCGTGTTGTGTATTTGATGGAAACCATTCTCGGTCAGTGAGTACCACAGTCAAAACAGCAGAGCGCAGCCGAGCACTGGAGTGGCGGGCGGCTCCCTCGTCGCGCCCGGGGCGGGCGGGGAGTTCAGGTCGTGCCCGCGGGCAGGGTGGTCGGAGGTGCCTCTCTCTCGGCGCGCTCGGGGCCCGGTAAAGCGTCCGCTCGCCGCGCCAGCCGCAGCCGGCACGAACACCGCGCGGTCCTCACCGGCCCGGCGCCACGCTGGCCGGCCGTCCGACACGTGCCCTCTCTCTCTCTCCCTCTGTCTGCGGCCGCGCGCCGGCCGACATGCAGCGTCGCGTCCGTGCGTCCCTCTCTCTCCCGGTCTCGGCATGCAGTGTCTCCGGCCGGCGCCGCTCGCCGCGTCACTCCCAGGAGCCGTGCCGCGCCGGCGACCACTGCCAGGGCCGGAGTCGCGCCGGCCGGCCGGCCGGCGAGTCCGGCTCACTCACATTGCTCTCGGGCGGTCCGGCGTAGTTGGCGATGCTGTACTCCTGCAGGGCGCCGTTGTTGCCGTCGTCGCGTGGCGTGCCCGGCCCGTTGGCCGGCGAGCTCTTCATGCCGTCCATCTCGCCGTTCATCACGGGCGGGTGCGGACCGTCCGGCATTACTCGTCATCGGGTACTCCTGCCGGCCGGCACGCACACGCCGCTCACGGGCTTGTCGGGGCGCGCGCGAGCGCAACGCAGGCCACGGGTGCAGCGGCCCCGTCACCATCCGATCCCCGTAACATCAGTGTCAAGCACTGGTGGCAGCTATGGTTATGGTCATGTGTTTTGTGTCAGGCATATTCACCGCACCATTGACGTCAGGAACAAAACCGTGCGCTTGCGTTGTCGCCCAATGGGATGTACCGAGTTTTCGCCCCGTGAAAACGCGAACCAAGCCAAATCAGACATGGCAGAGCCCAACTGAGCAAGCCTCTCCTGGCACCACCTAGCTGCTGCCAGAATTTTGCAGCAATCTACAATTGCAATTTGCAGCAATCGGTCCCTTACAATTTTAAAGCAATCTAATGACAAAGCCGTGCCGATGTTTGGTTTCTCTGTCACCTAACTCAAATCACGTTAGTTCCTTCGACATGAGAAAATGCAACGGACGATCCACATGAGCACAAACCACCCCGACGTTCGGTTCCTTCGTAACCCGGGCCGAATCGTATCATACCCTCCACAAGGATTGACGAGGATAAATGAAAAGCTTAAAGGGAATTTTTCACATAGATATTGAAGCAAGCATTATATATGATGAAATAAGCTCACTGCTAACTCTTGGTATAGTTTATAGTAGAAACTCTGCTTTAGGCAATGCAAGTTCTGTTTAGTCGATATGCTCTCAACACGCCACTGTTTAATTGCGGCATCGCACCTTGCAAAACATCGCTTGCGAACCAATTGACGGCCGTTATATCTGGCAACCATGCTCCCGAACGCCGAACTGAACGACTCGACTATCATATTTTTATAAGCCTTGATCGCCGCATGGATAACGGAATGGCATGATTTTAAAGACCTTATTATGACACATTGAATGCCAGAATGACCTTGACATGGTCCTCCCGAAATAGTCTGCACAGCTCGGCGGGCGTGTAGCCCAGAAACTCGAGGGCTTTATGTCTTAATAAGGGCAGGGCTGTACGCTGCACCGAATGATCTTCAAGATGGCTATTACAGTGCAAATCCCTATACAAATGTAGAACACTCCCTTTAACTGGGGCGATGCTCGCCGGAGCCAGGCCGGATGTGGCGACGCTGACAGCCGCTGCCGGCGGGTAAGACTGATGACTGAACAGTCAGCAGGTCCATCCCGGCATATCCCACCTCCCGCTCCCCGCCAGGATGAGAGACAGGCGCCGCCGTACAGCCTCAGCAGCCCAGTGCGTCGTAAAGCCCCAGTGGCGACGACAACGCTTCTCAAAGAATTGACGCCTGCCATTAACTGCATTGAAAGGACAGGTCTTACAGGAATTACGATAAACCGCCGAACTTCATTCACCCTGGTTTGCGCAGCTGCACAGATGTTTAACCAACGTGACGCGCGCGCCTTCCTTTACACTATCGCGTGAAAATACATCAAATGGTGCATTCGACCAAGTCAGAATAGCGGGGAGAGGTCGGCATACACAGAAGCCATGCCTGGTAATGCAGACAGGAGCAATTCAGGGCAATGGATGGCTCGTGAGAAGCTGATAACAATCTCCATATAGCGGAATGGAATCAAGAAGGCGCTGGCAGCGCAGAGTTAGATCCCGCAACACCGACACTAAATAGCACCGGGTGGGTTGGAGCCAAGTCGGCAGTGTAAAGATCTTCGCCGCACAATGACGGGGTGTCAGTCGCCCACGTCGCTTACGCCCATGCAAACGACGAAATGATATGTTCATGCGATATGTAGGCGAAGCAATGATGTGGGCAACGTTCTTTAAACCCGCTTCTGCCCTGTTTTGCGAGACAAGCTATAGCAATGGTAACACGCGTGAGATATGTGGGTGCATGCATTATGGCCAGAGAACGAGCGGTTGTGCTGAATCATGGCAAAATGGCAAGGAATCCACTCTGCAATTGTGCAAGCAGCAAATAATTACAATATCCGAACCAATTTCGCGTTCATAGTTCAGTGATTTTCAAAAAGCATCAGTATGAGCGCTCTCGATTTTCAGTAATTCTATCTGAAGGACATGAAACATTTTGCCAGGGATGCCGTCCATGATTTTGGATCGCCACATTTATATCTCGTTCAAAGGAACGAAAATAAATCAATTAGATGACTCAGCTGGAGTTTGTAACAGTACTTCGATCCTTCAGATATTACTGTCAGCATGAAACGCTATCTGCAGAAGAAAAACTGGCATGTTTCGACTTCCATCGTTGCACATCTCCCCTGACAATACTCAGTTTTCATGGGAAAACCTGACCATCATTCCCTTAACTATGCGCGCTGCAATCAGAAACCAGCACTAAACTGGGACCCCAACATTGCCCACCAAATTTCCCGGACAGAACGGGTGTTATCTTGTCGCTTTGATCGGCGTACATCCAGTGTCCACAGATTTACCACGCCATTTTGGCATTAAGGTTGGGGATCACAATGACGTCTGCGCAGTCAACCCCTCCACAGACCGATGGCCCTGCCGCACATATCATCCGCTCATCTATCACGGGGCCCGATCACCAATCCGGAGGCACGTTATTCCGCGCGCACGTGCACGGCCCGTTTCTGCTCCAGCCTCCTGACCATACTCCGGGCCCCACACCATTACAAAGATCCAACCACAGAAGATATGTAAGAGACGGAGCTTTGGCTTACACAGTGACAAAACATCTTGCCACGCGTGATGTTTCCCGTCATTCGGCGTTTGGCTCAATAGTTTCTCAAGCTCTTACGGCGGTATCCCATAATCAAAGTGGGATAGGTATTCCTCATCCGTCTGAAATGGTACGCTGGTGCGTATATCATTTAATAAATGCTTCACTCATTAACGGATGCTCGTAGAACAGCGCAACAAAAACTTATAACCCCCAAATCTGCACCTTTTTATGCTGCACACTACGGCTGAAGGCAGGGGCAGGATTTCAGTAAAGGGAACGACATGCAAATCGTGACCAGAACCATTCTTGGAGATACATTTTTGCGCGCGCGTTTTTACACAAAATCGGGTAACTTCTGATGCTTTCGGAATACGTTCTATGCCACGTCACTTCGATGCGTTATTTCTCATTTTTCCCTAGATATCTGAGCTAAACAGCTTTCCACACCAAAGCCGAATTGGAGGCCAGTTTTAAGTACTCAATCACAAGGCAGATCTCATTCCATAAAAATTATCACGTAAGCTACATGTTATCGGTTGCCGAACGTTAACCGTGAAATCTGAATAAATCAAACCGTTTGGTCTGGAACGCGTTTCTTAATTCACCACACAAACCGATGCAAACCACAGCGGGGTTGAACAGTGTCTCTCAGCCGGACGAGATGAACGAGGAAGCATTTATCCTCTGTTGAACACCGTGGCCCAGTCGTAAAAATGGCATCATCGTGCCGTTTGCGGTGTCCAGCACTTCGATCGCGTGACGGTTCTGGACAGTTGCATACCGTAAGTGGGAGAGATATCAATTACCCAACCGTCAGCGTCTTTGCACCCGGTGATGCTTCGCGTCGGCATCGTCGCCGGTGACAGCGACAGTCTGAGGACGTGGCGTGAGCCGGGGGTAGGCCGGAAACCGTTCGCAAGAGCCCGGCACGGACGACGGCAGCGGTCCGCGCCGTCCGTACCTCGGCACACCCACACCGGCGCGCGCCGGCCGCGTACTCACGCCGTGCATGGAGGGCGCGCCGCCGGGCACGGGCTTCATCATGCCGTACATGGGGTCGCCGGCCGGGCCGTGGGTCTTGTGGGCTGGGCATGATGGGGCGTGCCGGGCCCGGGCGGTAACCCCCGGCGGCAACCTGCGCAGCGGGGGCGGGGGGGAGCCGTCAGCCAGCGCACCACCACCACAGCGGCGGCCACGCAGCCGACCAACACACATCGGCCGGCTCATGCCACGCAAACCACGCGTAACCGCACGCGCTGCACACGTGGTAACGGCATCGTACGCGGGACTGTGGCGCGAACAACGCCGCGGAGGCTGCAACGGACCTTCGTTCAAGCATGACTGACATGACATATGATATGATGACACATGACATGACATGATATGACATGACATATCAGGGAAACATGTACCCTAGAAGGCTACGCTCATTGTGTGCCTCCCCGCCTCCCTTTTTCATGCCGCGTTTTGCTCGGCTGCAGTACCGCGTCTTTACACAAGCGCACACCGCCCATATAACCGGCACCGATACCGCCCTCCGCACGCGCCACGCATCGGCACACCTGGCGGCGGACGGCCGGGCGGGCGGCACTGGACACCGCCGCCGGCCGAAGCGGCGCGGCGAGCGGCCGGTACTCACCGACGAGCCGTGCGGCCAGTGGGGTCTGTGGGGCGCGCCGGGACCAGCCATCGACATCGGCACCTGGCCGGGGCCCGGCCCCCAGCGCGTTCGGTGGCGGGCCCCGCATGCCCGGCGGACCGTACGCCTGCATGCCCGGACCCATCGGACCCATGCCCGGGCCCATCGGGCCCCGCGGGCCCACCATGCGAGGTCCCATACCCGGTGGACCTCCTGAAACAGAGGCGGTGTCAGCGCGCTGGCGATGGTAGCGACGAGCTCGCGCCGAAAGGCGCATGGTTTTTCAGCCAGTGTTACAGCAACGTTCGACGAAGTTTGAGTCTGGATGTACCCGCAGCTGGTCGTAACACCGGCAGCACCGGCGGAGAATACGGAGACGGGCCCAGATAAGTGGGAGACGGACACAGATATGTGGGACTTATCGAGGTGCAGGCTGCCATTCAGTGCCACAAATGGGTGCCACAATACCACTACGTGCATGGTACAAAAAGACCAAATCTCGAAAAGACAGGGTGTGCAAATACAAGGACACAACGGCAAAAAAGCTATTGGGAAAAGGCCGGCCAAATGGAGCAAAGAGGGAACAAATTGCGCAAAGAAAATGCTCAGCAAAGCTATTTAAGCAGCACAACACTGCAAGTCACGCCAAAAATGTGAAAGGCGAACTTGTTAATCGGAGCCAAATAACCAGCGTCAAAACATGGCGCGGACCAAACGGTCCCACCGGATGCGTGGGACCGACCCGAACCACCCGCTCGAAGCCGTCTCAAACGCCCCGCACGTCTACGCCCAGACATCGCTGGTGTCCAAACCACGCTAGCTCGTGAAGCGGGCGGGAGGGGGATGTGGGAGCGTCCCACAGTGTACGCAAGCTAAGCCGGAAGCGTGCTCTGCGTGAATAGCTGCCGCGGAGCCGGTCAGGACGGTAGTGCCAGCGCCCGTGCCCTGTTCGGTACCGGTGGGCGGGCCACGCGACACCCCCGCCCGTGGTGGCGACGACTCGGGGCTTTTTGGCGGTGTAACTGTCCGGCTGGATGTTGCCAGCATCTAGCGCGTTACGTGGAGAAGCCGGGCCGGCCCCGCGTACCGAACAGGACCCGGGTCAGCCGGACAGGGGCGGCTGGCGGACGCCCGGCTCGCCACACGGCGTTACGAGGCACACGACGGACAAACGCACACACACCCACACACAGGCAGGCGCGGGGCAGGGGGACGGCGGCGAGCCAGCGCCAACTCCAGCCTACCTTGCCAACCTAAATACTCGCCGTCTCCGCCTACGGACAGAGGGGAAGCACGCATTAAAGTCAGCCGGGCACGGGCGTCCACAGGCGCGGCGGGCGACCGTCTGACCGGCCGGCACACAGTCCCGCCCGCTCCCTCCCGGCCCCGGCCCCGCGCGCCCCGGCCGCCCACGCTCACCTGGCCGCGTCGGGTCCATACTGGAGGGCATCATCGGCTGGCCCGGCGGCTGAAAGGAGAGCGGCGGCGTCAGTCTTACGGTGTCACACTACGGCGACACACGCTGGCGGAGCGGGGCGGCGGCGATGCGTGGCGCACATGTGGCGAGTACGGCGCCGGGACCATCGGCACCGCTGACTGACACACCGCCACAGAAACCGCTGGGCACCGTTGGTCGGCAAGGCCCACGTGAAGCCTGCACCGGGCCGGATGGCGACACTGAGCCGTCGGCTAAACAACCAAGACGAGGCGCGACGCATCGGCGGGCAAACGGAAATGCTACGGCGGTCGTGCGGCCCAGTCCGGCCGAGCCCCGGAGCACGAGGCCTCGCCTACGAGCGCGCGCCGTCGCACCACTCACCCCGTTAAACTCCGCCATGTTGCCGGGCATTCTCACACCCGGCCGGGGCCCGCCCAGAAACCGAGGAGACATGTACTGCAAGCACACGGAAACGGCCGTCATCGATACGGTTCACCCTGCCGGCCGCAGCAACACACAGGACACACACATACACACAAACACACAAGGCGGTGCCTCGCTTTCCGCCAGCGGAACTGTCAAGAGTCTGACCAGTCGCTTGGCGAGTCCTTCCCAGATTGGGACAACGTGGCTGGCGACGGCAGGCCGTAGCAGATCCCGACTAACCCAGCTGACGCAACGGCGAGACCGGCAACTGTGGCCGAACCGCGACAGCTGCCGTGGCGGCTGCTGCAACGATCTCTTATCCTGATGCAACACTGCCGTCCATAGGCAAAAAGGCGAAGTGCAATTTACCCTGATGTGTGCAAGCCTTCTGCCTTTAGACGCGTACAAGTTGGCAGCCATGTACCAGGAGCCCCACAAAATATCCCAGGACTCCATTTACAGGGAACCCTGTGACATTCTACATATACCGTAGGTATCCTAGCACATTTCTATTAGTTGAAACTTAGTTGGTAGGCATGGATCAATATGAGTACTTGCGTCTCCGAACTTTTCCAGTAAATTCGAAGCATCGCAATGCACAACTGCATCACTTATCTAGCCAACCCACCGCTCTCTTCTCTTTCAGTACACCCCCTACCGACTCACGTCCCCCCCCCCCCCCATAACCTCTGCGATGCCCAGCGATGACCCGGCACCGCCGTCGTGCCATCCGCGTCCGACCGGCGTCGGCGGCGTCGGGCGGCCGCCACCGGCCGGCCGGCCGGCCCGCCACGCCGCTGGCGCCGGAGCCGGAGCCGTACCTGTGACGCGATCATGGTGCCGTGCGGCACCGGCTGGCCGGGCGGCGCGTGCGGTGACGACTGTGACGACGGGTGAGACTGCGGCGACGGCCGCATGTTGGAGTTCTGCAACAGCGACGCACAAGTACGGCGCGTCAGGAGACGCACGAGGCGGCCGGCACAGAGCTCGTCGCCAGCGTCGCCGGAGCGGGGTGTGTGCGGTAACAAACGCCGCTTCACAGGGCGCCCCGCTGTCTGCCGCTCGCAGCGGTCATCAGCTGGCTGATTAGGCTGGTGCATGGCTGCCCCTCCCCAGGCGGAACCGCTGTGGTGTTAATTGTTACAGCCCCAGCCCCGTGCAACGATGATGCGCGTGGTGGTTCCTACAACACGCAAGCACCTGCGCCATCTATGCACCGACAGCCCAACTAACAACACCGAGAGCGCCGTGGCGCACCTCTGCCGCCTACCGGCCGGGCGGAGAAGCAAATTACCTATCGACGACGGCGCGGCCGGCCGTTCCGCGGCATCAGTGAACGCCTACTACGATTGACGACCTCGCGAGTACGCGCGGTCAGCGGGCCGGCCGGCCGGCGCGCCCCGGCCGGCGCCGCGGCGGGCCCCGCCGGGCACCGGCCGCACTCACCGGGAAGAAACCGGGAGGCATGGCACCCTGCAGCTCGCCGGGCGGCATCTGACCCAGTGGCGACGGCGCCGCGCCCGCGCTCTGCAACACACGCACACGCGCCTGTCACAGACGGCAGGCTGGCCACGCTGCAGCTGAGCCTGTCCGGAATACGGGGACAGACGTGCAACGATCATCCAAACAGTCAAATGCAAGCACACAAACCGACTGCCCCAGGGATGATCGGACCTCCACCGTCGTGCAGCACCGCCATACACGCCGTCATCTCTCGGCAACTTGAACACGCAGGCCGACGCCATGCTGCATCACCGATGTACGACACACCGTCCACAAGCCGCAAAACCAAACATCAAACAACCACCCTCAACACGCCGCAACATATATTCACTGGCTCTGGCGCCATGCAGAGCACTGTTGCATGGTGCT